AGGGTTGGCAAGTTGTGGTGAGAATCAGGCAGTCTGGGCCAGGCAGTGGCCTGAGCAGGTAGCAAGCGGCCTGGGTGGGTAGTGTCTGAGTAGGGAGCCAAGGGGAGTGTGAGTGCCAGTTCTGTGGACAGCTGGCAGAGCACTGGGCAGAGGTGGGGTCCTGTCAGGCAGGAACAGGAGGCCAGTGTGACTGGAGGGCTGGACAGGGGAGAGCGGGCCACACAGAGCAGCTGGGGAGGTCTGAGCTAAGCAGAGGGGGCATGAATGTTCTGTGGCCCACCTGGATGTGGTATGGAGACACCTGCACTGGGTGTGGGGTAGAGAGACAGTGAGAGGTCAGTGCCTAACAATGACACAGGCCAGGACAGTAACTGCAAAGGCGTGGGGGGTGGGGTTGGTCTCTGTCCATAGTGAGGGATCCAGCTAGCGTGATTCACTGAGATGGGACCCCGGGCACAGAGAAGAGATTTTTGCCAGGAAAGCCCACCAGCATTTACATGGACTGATGCTTCTCAAGCTACTCGGTGTCTCCAAGCCTTGCTTACTCATCTGCAAAATGGGTGTGTGAATAGATAGTTCCAAGGACTAAAAAGCCACTCTTTCAGTCTCAGGCTCTGGGGCCTGGGGTGATCAGGGAAGGCCTTGAGGAAGTGGGCAGACCCTGTGCTTAGGAATGACTTAGACCAGGTCCAGCTGATGAAGAAGAAGAGAAAAGAGCAGCCAGGCAGAGGAGGATGAGTTCAGGAACAGTGTCCTCAGAGTACCAGCCTGGGTGGAAAGGAGGGGGCCAAGAGCTATTAATACACGGATGGGCCCCCAGCTCCCCAGTACCACACCCTTTAAAGTAGACCTGCAGGTCTGGGGCCTGAGCAGATTTTGTGAACACTGTGGTCCTCAATTTTTAACAGCTTCAGACAGACATGCTCAGGCAGGAAGGAATGAAGCCTGGCTGCTGGTCCGCCAGAGAGTTAACCTCCTGGCCTGGCACCGCATAACCACAGGATCTGCTGAGTGCGAGGAGACTCTTCTGTGTGGCAGCCAGAGTGCAAGCCTGGTGGCTCTGGGCTCTGGCACCATCCCACAGCGGAACAAACAGACCTCCCTTCACAGATAATGGCCTTATTGAGTATTGTGCCCATGGCCAGTGCCCAGCACTGGGCAGCTCAGCCTGGGTAAGTTTCCTCTCTTGGATGCTTAGCAAAATATTTACACTATGCCTTTCTAGTAAGACTGTTCCTGGGAGCCAGCGAGCAGAGAGAGCTAGAGAAACCCCCTCACTCCCCACTTCACCCCCACACCCCCAGGGAGCTGCCTTCCACAGTGGGGAAGGGTTTGCCACACGCCCAGCATGTGAGTCTGGCTCCATCGTTGCTTGCCAGGGTTCTATTGTGAAGCAGGGCCTGGAACTAGAAGATGCTAGAAGACCTGGCCAGTGTCAGTATCATCCCGGGCTCCTCAAAAGAAGAATGGGTACAGATGCAGGCAGCGTGAGGCAGGTTGCTGCTCTCCTCCCTGCCTCCTATGCAGAAGGAGTGTCTCTCTCTCTCTCTTTCTCTCTCTCTCTCTCTCTCTCTCTCTCTCTCTCTCTCTCTCTCTCTCTTTCTCTCTCTACGTGTGTGTCTCTGTGTGTGTGTGTGAGAGAGAGAGAGACAGAGAGACAGAGAGACAGAGAGACAGAGAGAGATTGGAGGAGTTCAAGACCAGAGCTGTGAATCCTGCTTTCTCATCCTTCTATTGGGGCACAGTTGGCATCCAGAAACATCCCATCCCCCTGAGTGGGGCTTTCAGTGAGAAGAGAGGGTACAGGCCAGCTCGCTGTCAATGGTGCTGCTCTCCCAAAGGTCCCTAACCCAGCCACGGGAACATTCACCATGTTGTCAGAGGAAATAGGGACAGTACCTCTTTCCTTCATCCACTGGAAAAGAGGTCAACGATGACCTGGGTAGCCCTTTGGATAGAATTGAGACCCATGAGCAAAACCCACATGGCTCATCAGTAGGAAGATACCTTGAACAATGGACCCCATCACTGCTGTGACCCAAGACACACATCCTCTTTGACCCAGGATCCCACTTCTGGGAATCTGGCTTGTGGCGCGTCAGCACCAGGGTGTAAAGATGTGTGTGCAAAGGATGTTTATTGCAAAATTCTAGAGGCCCAAAACAAGGTTATAAAAACTCAAGAGCAAGGTGGTGGTGTACCCCTTTAATACCAGCACTTGGGAGGCAGAGGCAGGCAGATGTCTGAGTTCCAGGCCAGCCTGGTCTGTAGAGTGAGTTCCAGGCCAGCCAGGGCTGTTACACAGAGAAACCCTGACTTGAAAACAACCAAACAAACAAAAAACTCAAGAGCAAAGTCAAGATCAAAGGCACTGCATCCATACCATCACCTGCCATTCAGCAGGAGCAAGCAGACCTTGTGCCTCTGTAGAAGAGCAATGTGGTATCCCAGTGAGGATTGCAGGGTCTGAAGACCGGTCCTGAGTTCTAGCTCCCACCACTTACAAGTTAGTTTGCATGACTTCACTATCAGTCTCCTCTTCAGTTACGTAGAGGTTATAATAGTTCTACCCTACACTTGTTAGGAGGAGTAACTGAATTGCTGTGTGTGGATATTTACAATTGTGTCTGGTACGCATTAACTGCTAAAAAGAAAGATCTGAACTTTGATCTGGAAAGATCATCTAGGAGAAAAGCCAAGTGCAGAGAAATGTATATAGGGTAATGCCATTTTCATAAAATCAAAGGCTAGCCCATCTTAACCTCATTCTACTCACAAAAGAAGGAAGTAGGAAGGGACAGAGGGAAGGAAGGAAGTGATGGAAAAAGAAAGTGATAAATCGAGGGAGGGAGAAGGAAGGAAAAAAGGAAAGGTAATTGGTACCATCCTGGGTTCAGCCTCTGAAAGAGCTCTGAGCCTTGCAGGAAGCTCAAACCAGTGCCCTTGAAGGTCCCTAGGAACCTGAAGACCTCACAGCTTATATGCCTTGTCCTGTCTGCAGGAGGGGTACAAAGGCATTGGCTGGTGGCTCAGTTGTACAAGTAGTTCATTTCCCTGATGTGGCATCCATCTGCAGGGCCACATGGCTCCAGTCAGGGCTGAGTCAGCCAGACCCAGTTTTGGGCCATATAAGCCATGCCCACAGTGATACTTTGTGGACTCTGCCCTGGGTGGCCACACCACACTGAGAACCAGATACTCTGGGACTGGAGGGACAGTTGACAGATAGAGAAGATGCCAGGTGGGGTGGAGCCATCATGGAAATCAAAGCCACTCAATCCACTTGAGATGGGATCTGAGTGTGATATTAGCTGAGAAAACTGATTTGTTACAGGGAGCCTGGACTTCTTTTTTTATTTAATGCATGCACTGGTTGGTTCTTATGATTACTATTATTATTTGATGTGTATGAGTTTTTTGCCTGTATGTATGTCTGATTGCCACATGCATCCCTGATGCCCACAGAGGCATTGGATCCCCTGGGCCTGGGGTTGCAGACAGTTGTGAGCTGCCACAGGAGTAGAAGTTGGGTCCACTGGAAGAGCTGCAAGTGCTCTTAATTGATGAGCCATCTCTCCATGCCCCACTGATTGTTTTTGGTTTGTTTTGTTTATCTTTTTTTGTCATCTTGACATAAGTGGGGGTCATCTGGGAAGAGGAACCCTCCATCAAATTGGCCTGTGGGCAAGTCTGGGGATTTTCTTGATTGATGATTGATGGGAAAGGCCCAACCTACTGTAGGCAATACCATTCATAGGCAGGTGGCTCTGGGTTGCATAAGCAAGTAGAATGAGTACGCCTCAAGAGCAAGCCAGTAAGCATCTTTCCTCCATTGCCTGCTTTAGTTCCTACCTCCAGGTTCCTGCATTCAGTTCCTGCCCTGACTTCCCTCAACAGTGGACTGCAAGCTGTAAGATGAAATAAACCCTCTCCTCCCCAAGTTGCTTTTGCTCATGGTGTTTTATCACAGCAATAGAAAGCAACTAGAACAACGCACATAGAATATGTTTTTCAGTATTTCAGTCTAATATATGCTAATATAATGAATACCAGAATGCCTACCGCCTTGTAACAACTACAGTAGAGCCCCTCAGAGCCCTCCCCATCTTAACCCCTTCTCTTTCAGAAGCACTGTCATTTTGATTTGAAATTACCACCCCCACAGAGTTCCGGGTGCTGGATTCCTCCTGCCTCAGAGATTTCCCATGGAGTTAGGTGAGGCCCATGCCTTTCTGCCCAGGGTTCTTTCCTGGGCTCCTTCAGTAATGACATATCCTTGATCATATCTAGCCCATCTTGCAGTAAAGAAACCAAACCTGGGACCTAGCATTTGCCTTGTTCTGGCCTGGTATTGTTCACAGGTCCCTTAGAGGGAGAAGGTGGGCTTTGCCGTTCATAAGGTGTCACATGCGCAGCAGGCCTCAGAGAATAATGCCTAGGCATAGAACACTAGCAGAACGTGAGGGACTTGGGAACTGGGGTGAAATTCTTTATGTTTATCTAATTCAATAAAAAAAGATGCTGGCAATATTCCTGGGATCCTCATTGCTTAGGATGGGGCTATGCTGAAACAAGAGAGACTCAAGTCAGTGTGAATGTGAGGTGAGTAACAGTATATGATGGTATGCGTCTCTGATAAGACTCAGAATGAATATCTCCAGAAGGCACATGTCTCAAACACGAGCTAATGCCTTAAAGACAAGCTCACGGGGTGTTCTTAGACCCTGGGAAAGTCAAATGCCTAGCCCAGAACTGGCATGGAAGCCAGGGAAATAGAGGTGGGTGGTGGCTTAATGAATGCTTCCCAACTTAAAACAACCAGGAAGAAATTGCCTTCCTATCTCAGGGCCGAGGAGCACTCTGGTCTGTCTGTGGTTGAGACGCTGGGACCATGCCGCTCCCTAGGCTGTCCTTCTTTGACTGCCAGAGAACTGCATGGTAGAACTGCATGAAGGGCTTTCTACTTGCTCACCTGCCTCCTTCTTCCCCTCCTGGTCTAGATCTTCCACGTCCACTGCGCTGACTGAACCTCTGTGATCGAGTTAACAACTGCAAATGGATAAAGATGGGATTAGCTAATTGACCCATGCATGACCGACAGCCAAAGCCTTCTCGGCTCTGCTTGGCCTATGAGGTTTGCTGTTAGGAGCTCTTCCCTGCTAAAAGGATGCCTGGGCTAGATAGGGCATTGAACAATTGGGGTGGTCAGTGTCTGTCTTGCACTCCCAAATAGGAACCAACCAATGAGCTTTTGGGTCATGAGAGAAACAAAGTTCTTCCTTTACCCCCAGATTGGCAGGCCCTGAGCTGCTGGCCTCTGACACCATTTCCTCATCAGATAATCGGAACTTTAGGTGACTGCTCTCTAGGGTCTCGGCCCCCAAAGGATATTGTAAGTACAGTCCATCAGCCCCTAACCACTCTCATCCTGCAGTCTATGTCATGAGCACACTTCTGTCTCACTGCACCACTGGCCAGGCCTGTGTACCCGCTGCTGGACACGGAGGGGTGTGTGTCACAGCAGCGGCTCCAACCTACATGGCTCAGTTACGATTTCCATTGCTGCGATGAAACACCATGACCAAAAAGCAAGCTGGGGAGAAAAGGGTTTATTTGGCTTACACTTTCATGTCATTGTTCATCACTGAAGGAAATCAGGACAGGAACTTAAACAGGGCAGGAACCTGGAGGCAGGAACTGATTCAGAAGCCATGGAAGGGCTTACTGACTTGCTGAATATGACCTCCTCAGCCTTCTTTCTTTTAGAACACAGGACCTCCAGCCCAGGGATGGCACCACCCACAATGGACTGAGTCCTAGCCCATCAATCACTAATTAAGAAAATACCTTACAGCCTGGTCTTATGGAGGCATTTTCTTAACTGAGGTTCCTTCCTCTCCGATGACTTTAGCTTGTGTGAGTTGATCTAAAACTAGGCAAGACACTGCATCATTGTGAACACCATAACCTCAGAGTCACTGGAGGTCATGGCACTCTAGGAAACATCATGCAACCTTGATGTTCTCAAATCAAGGGACTAAGACACTTATGCCAAGAGAAAGAAGCCAAACACAAGGGGCCACATTGCTGGATGATTCTATTTCTGTGAAATTTTCAGAGAAGATGAACTCACAGAGATAGACACCTATGGGGACTTGGAGAAAGGGAGTGTGAAATGACTGCTAATGGGTACAGGGATCCTTTATAGAGTGATAAAAGTGTTCTGGAATTAGATGACTGAGAAATTTTGTGATGATTGATAGAAAGATGCACATGGGCTGTGGATACAGCTCAGTGGTACAGTACTTGCCTGGCAGGAATGAGATTTTTGGCTTTAGTCCCCAACACAAGAGGTGCAGGAAGACTGTAGTGTTGTATAAACGTAACTTTTACTGAGTATAATGGCTTACACCTATAATCCCAGTGTTTGGGAGGCTGAGACAAGAGTCTGAGACCAGCCTGGGCCACCTACTCAGTTCTAGTCCATCATCCTGAGATACAGGGTGAGACCCTAACTCAAAAAGTAATGGTGGAGCTGGCAGGGTGGCTCAGTGGGCAAAGGCACTTGCCGCTAAGCCTAACAACGTGAGTTCAGTCTCCAAGACCCACATGTGGAAGGAGAGGACTGATTCCTGCAAGTTGTCCTCTGACCGCCACATGCTCACCATGACACTTGTATATGCGTGCGCATACAAGCACAATAAACAAAGAAAAAAATGTAATAATAATAATAATAATAGTAAATAATAAATGGTATATACTCTTAAAGGATGAATTTTATGGTATATTGTTATGTATTAGTTTTTCCCAAAGTAAATGACACCTCTAAAGAGTCATATTAGTGAGAAAGAGGCTGGATCAAAATTTAGAAAAATTTCCAGATGTGGTGCATGCCTTTAATCCCAGCACTTGAGAGACAGAGGTAGGCAAACCTCTGTGAGATCAAAGCCAGCCTGGTCTACACAGTGAGTTTCAGGCTAGCTATGGATACATAGGACTCTGTCTCAAAACACAAACAAGTTTAGAAAATTCTATTTAGTAATAGTTAATATACCTGCTTGTTTCAGAAGTTAAGAATTCAGAATTGAGGTGACATCTATAAACTGTCCAATCACTGAGGTTTTCCTTTCTTCATCCATTCATCTACCATTCACTCCCAAACGCCTACAAGTGCCTACTCGGTGTCAGACACAGGACTTGAAGGTGATTCAGACACAGGCCCTCCACTTCTGTGAAAATGTCTAATGAGAGGGTGTGTATGAACAGTCACAAGCCACCCCCACGATCACAGCATGTGTCAGCCGTCACTGACAGCTTCCACTGCAACGTAGAATCTGAGCAGTTCGTTTCACGGAAGTGTGGAGTAGGATGAAGGTTACCAGAGAGTCAGGGAGGTGGGCAGGGACCTGGTCAGTGGGGACCAGGTCACAAGGAAGAGCAAGCCCTGGCACTCTGTCACGCAGGAAGGTGTCTACAGTCAAGAGAATGTAATGTGTGTTTCAGACTAGCTAGCCACAGGATTTCAAATGCTTTCTATCATGAAGAGAGGGGAACTGAATGAGGTGCTGGCTATGCTGATTTCCTCGTTCATTCATGATGTTGTGCATATATGGATCAAACATCACATCCTAGCTGATAAATGTATAAAATTACGTATCAATTGAAAACTCAAAAGCAGGTCAAAAAAGCATTGGTAGCTGTCGTTGCTACAAAAAGGCACTGCGAAGGACCTGGGCTGGAAGGCAGGGCCAGGTCCTTTGGAGGAGAGAAGCCCTATATACTTGAACCCAAACCTCTGGGGAAACCCAGGCAGAGGACTGTGGGACTGGGAGAGATGGAGTTCTGAGCAGTGATTGGGTAGGGTGTGTGGACAGGTGGGAGCAGGGCTGACCCTGAACAGGAAGACATGGACCAGTGTGTGTTTATCTTGCATGGCTGACTTGGTGACCAGCCCTTCTAGTTACGGCCTCCACTAACCACTCCCTGGGGCATGCCCGCCTTGTCTCTGTCCAAGTACCTCAGGAGTCTCCCTGGGTAATTGCCAGGAAGAGCAGCTACATTAACCCTGCTGGCCTAGATGTAGCATCCTGTCTGAGTTCTCTTCAGGCTCTGCATGAAGGGCTCTTGTTAGCACTGAAGATGAGGGCTGGCTGGTGCCCTGGCACTCTGTAAGAGGCCTGCAGTGGCCCTGCAGTGGCCCTGCAGCTAAGCCTTTGTGGGGTCATTTCTCATATCCACTAGCCTCCAGCCTACCATACTTGTTCAGACTCAGGACAGGACAGGAATATAGAGATGAGTCAGATGCCAGGCATTTGGAGTTCTTAGGAAGATGGGCTGAGGAGATGCCTGGATCCATCCCAGCTGCTTCTGCCTCTGTCCCCTCATCTGCACAAGAGGTGAGAAGGGTCCTCCCAGGGAGGCTGTTCTAAAGAACTCATCAGTCATGACGTGATGTCTAGACAATGTGCTTACAGTCCAGGGACAGATGAAGTTGTCATAAACTAGTTCCCTCCCAGGGATGAGTTTAGGTAGAAACAAATGAGACAAGCTGGGAAAGCTAAATTGCCACACTAATTCAAGGTGGGAATACTCTGGTTATCATTGGTGTCATCTGAAATGGAGCTGGAGGCCCATCCCAGAAGAAGAGGGTGACAGTGGTGACCTCAGGGAGAAATTGGTGACAGGTTGGTTTAAGTTAGACAAAGAATGGAGAGTAGGCAGCTGTCAGAGGGGGTGCTGAACCCCTGCAAGTAGGCAGGGAGGGGAGAGGGGCTAGAGTGCAATGGAGAGGTAGAAGAGTGGAAGCTTGAAGATGGTGGGTGGGGTGGACACACTGGGTATCTTGAGAATGGGCAAGAGGGTGAGTGAGGCACAGAGCCCAGAGAGCCAGAGCACCAGTGCCCATAGGCACAGGGAGTCAGCAGGCAGTCAGAGCCAGGGGTGGTCCTGCTGGAGTAATCCATGCTAGGGATAAGATGGACTCAAAATGTCTTTGCAGATCAGACCCCAGAATCCAATTGTACATAACACCCTCTTTCTTCTCACTAGAGGTCGACCTAACTGAGTCGCCTGCAAGATAAGAACAAAGCTATGTCTCTAGCTCCCTACACTCACACAGCACTCCAGTTTTCCCTTGTTTCCTTGAAGTGATGTGAGGAGGTGGTGACATGTCTGTCACTTCTTCTACCTTAGTGTCCTCACCTGTAAAACAGAACCACTATCTACTGCTCAGACTTGAGGATCCAGTGTGCCTCGGGTCACAGTGTACTGGCTCGCCTCAGCCAGGCCCTCTGTCACTGTCCCCGCTGCTCTGAAGTTTGTCCTTCGGTAAAATCCATCCTTTCAACCACCAGGCTTTTTCCAGCAGGCTGTTTATTTTCTCCCGGTTTTTCATGGGCCTGCTATAATGGAGGAACCAGGCTTATGCTGTGGTCCATCCTACTTAGCATTTGGAGTCATTCATTCATTCATTCACTCACTTGTTCATAATGCAATGCACAACCAGCAGCCTGTGCTCAGGGCATTGGAAAACAGAGAGAGAGAGAGTTCCCATTGTGTTCATCTTTGGCCCCAGGCCCCACCCACAGCCTGTGGCCTTCTGCCAGGGTGGAATTTTCAAAAAATCACTTGGCTTGAGTGGAGAAGGGATGTGTGAACTGCAGGGGTTTATTTTTTTTTTTTTAATAGCCTCGGAAAAGTGTACAGGACCCCAGCCTCCTGCCCTGTGAGGACAGAACAGGAGCTTGGAGGACAGCTGAGACCTGCTCCTAGAGGGCATGGCCTATCCCCAAGGGCTTTTAGAATTCAGAAGTTGTCAAAACAGGAAGATCTGGGTCAGGGCCTGAAGTGAGAATTCCTGACCCAAAAATAAGGTTGGAATTCAGTATTTATTAAGATTAACTGAACTCCCATGGCCCTCAAGGAACTGGCCTGGCTGTGTCCTGACCCATGGAATCCTCTACAAGACTGTGTTTGGAGACACCAGGCCACTCAGGTGTGAGGCCTGAGGCACCACCTTACTGGCTGTCAGTATCCTGTCTCTAGGCTGCCCCCAAGCCAAGTGTTCAGGTGTTGATCTTCTTGTCTGTCCCTGGCCTCTCCACAGTGTCCCCTTTAAGAGGATGGATGGGAGCT